GAGTGTGCAGGTTTCTTCAATAGCGTCACAACAAAATGAATTAATTGGGACACATACTAAACAAGCAGACTCAAATAGAAGTAAATACATCACTTAGCTTTCGTGGACTACAGCCCACTTCTTCGGATGCATACATACAGCAATGGGCTGTAGTCCACGAAAGCTTATGCTCTAATAAATTTGTTAGTCTCTAAGGTGCCACAAGTACTCCTGTTCTTCTTTTTGCGGATACAGACTAACACGGCTGCTACTCTGAAACCTGTCATTATTTAAAACACACATTTTTCTCAAAGAATGAGGGAGGGGAAGGGAGATAGAGAGGAGTAGCATAGAGAGCACCAAAGGAGAAAGGGTGAGCCTCCTTCTTCCCAACCTCACTAGTCAGTGGCATCGCCTCATCCAGTGCTCCCCCTCCTCAGTCTGTACCCTCTCTCACCAACATTACTGTGACTCCCCTCTGCAGATTGGCTCCCTACCTCCAGTGTGAGCCCCCTATCGCTAGTCTACTTCTGTAATCTGTGCCCTCCTTCCCTACCTGGCAACCCCATCTCTCAGTGCCACCCCCATTGCTAGCCTGGCACCACCCAATCTGTGCTCCTTTTCCACCCATCTCCAGCCTGGCGCCCCTCAGTTTGTATCCCCTTCCCCTCTCCCATCTTCAGCCTGGCGCTCCCCCCAGTCAGCGTCCCTTCCCCCCCATCTCCAGCCTGGCACCCCCCACTCTGCATTGCCTCCCCCCATCCCCTGCCTGGCGCCCCGTCTGCGTCCCCTTCCCCCCCAATCTCCAGCCTGGCGCCCCCCGTCTGTGTCCTTCCCCCCCCCGGACCTCCAGCCTGGTGCCCCCACAATCTGCCTTTCCTTCCTCCCCCCAGTCTGCGTCCCCTTCTCCCCCATCTTCAGCCTAGCACCCCTCAGCCTGGCGCCCCTCCCCTCCGGGATCAGTGCCCAGGAAGCTCCAGGCCCCCACCTCCGAGGAAGGACACGCCGCGCTCCCATTCCCACCCACTCTAGTCAGCTCCGCTTTACGACAGGCCCTAAGGCCCCTCGCGGGCTTTACGACAGGGCTCTGGTGCCGTACGGCGAGTCGGGGACGGCGGGGCCCCGAGCCGTGTCCGGTCCGGCCGTTTCCCGCCCGCAGTCGCGGGGCTCCGCCGGGTCAGTCATGGTGAGGGCGGCTCCGGATCCCTCCGTCCAGGCAGGCGGGGGCGAGGGGCCAGTCGCGGGGTGGCCCCGGGCGGGGGAGGCCGGAGCGGCCGTTAGTCCCGCTCTGTGGCCGCCTCACCCGCGAAGCGCGTGGGCCGGGCCGGGAGCCCGCCCCTGCCGAGCGCTGTGTCCGGCTCGCGCCGCCGGCGAGTCGCTTGGGCCGCGGGACGCAGCTCGGGCGCCCTTGAGGAGTTTGGCTTTGACCTCCGCCCGCATTGCAGCTCTGCCCCTGGCCCTGCCTAGCCGGAGCGGCTACCGCCGTGTCTACACTACACCGGCGCCGTTACGGCAGGGCAGAGTGACACCGCAGTAACGGTTCTTACGCCAGCCGAGCTCGGGCCTGCCCGGGACGTGGAGTAAACTCTGCAGCCGCACGAAGGGTTGGACCAATGTAACTAGTCTGGTGACAAATCCCACCTCCCCCAGCACAGTGATACCAGTGCAAAATCTGCCTGTCGACCAGGCTTAACGATTTGCAGACATTCCTGATCTTCAATGATCCCATTGCCTTCAGGGGCCTTACTCATCAGTTTAAAATTAAGCAGGGGAGCAAAGCAACCCTATGCTACAAACTTCTTCTAGTAGCGCTATGTCAGTCAGGGGTGTGATGTAGGCTTGATTTAGGACTAGGGTGACCAGACAGCAAGTGTGAAAAATTGGGGGGGGAGTAAATAGGAACCTTATAAGAAAATGACCCAAAAATCGGGATTGGCCCTATAAAATCGGGACATCTGGTCACCCTACTTAGGACAGACCTAGCTGTGCTGGCAAAAGCCTATAGTGTAAATGCAGTTATACCAACAAAATCATGCTTTTGCTGGTGTAGCTTGTTTGGCTCCTGGGTGTGTGTATGGAATAAGCTATTCCAGTAAAAGCACAGCTAGGAGCACTTTGCCAGTGTACACCTATACCAGTTAAGCGCACCTAGTATAGGCATGGCTGTGTAGATAATTCAGTTCGCCAGCTATTACACAATCATCGCTTATCCAAAATAGGGCCATGTGTCCACATCTCTCTTGATTTTCAATAATTGAACAATGTCATTATGATTTTGAGCATTCAGACCTATTGGATGTCCTGAATGATGTTTGGATAATTGAAACTAAACTGTAATATTTGATATTGCTGAAGCATTTTTTATCTGTGGAACTCGAAGCATTTTATAAATACCAATTAAGCCAAAAAATGCATTTGTGATTAGTGGAGTATATGTTTCAGTAACTATATCCATATAGGACTACTGAAGCTTTTCTATTCCCAAGAGTAACTATTAACATTGCTACCTGTAGTTTTGAAATACAGTAAGTAAGGCTTTAAAAGCTGCCAGCCAATGTGTGCAAGTTAACTGTATCTATCAATTATATTGCAATTTACTGTTTTCTTGTCATATTTGAAGCCATTTTAGTTTTAATGTATATATGTAATTAACTTGACTAAAGATTATTGCATTTTCATTTTTGTTAATTGATCGGTTACTCTTTCTCCCCCACACCTAGGCTAGTACTGTGATAGCGGTTGGTCTGACAATAGCTGCTGCTGGATTTGCAGGTTTGTCTCTGGTGTGAGGAATCTAACACTGGATTGTACTTTTCATTATGTGCTTTAATAATGGTGCAGTGTAAAATATACTATCAGTTCAGCACGACACAGTACATTATCTTTTAAGGGACACATACAGAGGAGTGGATTTGCTGATCTGATTACAGCCAAAGAAAATACCTAAATTTTTCTCTTTTTAGTCAGGTCAAAACCATTTTTGTCCTACATACTAATCTGAAAGTAAATTATTGTACTGAATTTCTAAATCTTCATGAAATTATGCCTTTAGTTCTGTTAATGTTAGTCATTTTCTTTAAGGTCGTTATGCATTACAAGCTATGAAGCAAATGGAACCACAAGTAAAACAAGCCCTTCAGAATCTGCCAAAATCTGTAAGTTTTGTTTTATCCATAGTACTTTTTTTCAACCTATGTTAAATATATTTTTCTGCACCTAAATAGCTTCTCTCAGTCCCGAGTGAGAGGTTCAAGATGCTCTAATATAAATCGAGACAGACCAAACTGTCATCACTGCAATACTGTATTACTGATTGGTGCTGTTAAATTGGGACAGAAGATCTCCAAATTGAGTGTATAAAACACTTTCACTCATCTCAACAATACTGCTGTAGGTCAGTACCAAATTAAAGTGGTTGATTTGGCAACCTCACCAAATAGTTGAGTAAATAATAAGAAGCATCCTTGTACTCTTATAGATAGGAAAGCTCTGCAGCTATTAAAGAAGAAATGGTGATCTCTCCTTCACCTTCAATATTTATTGTTTAATTCACATTATTTTCCCTGTCAGTTTTCTTACTAATGCATCTTCCATTTCAGGCCTTCAGTGGTTATTACAGAGGTGGATTTGATCCCAAAATGACCAAACGAGAAGCAGCTTTAATATTAGGAGTGAGGTAAAAAATCATTTTAATTAAAAATGTAGGATGCAGGAGAGAATACAGGACTAATGAGTTTAAGATCAGGGGTCTGGTTTTTCAGAGGTACTGAATCCTCAAAGCTCCCATTGACTTCAGCATCTGAAATTCAGTGCCAAGTTAAATTAAAAGGGATTATCATAATGCAGAGACTGCTTTTACTCAGCTCAGTTTGCAAGACTGGCTACCAGGTCTTTCTAAGGTTGCATATATTAGATTGTTGATTACAGTATGTTGTACAAAGAAATATTACCTTTTAAAAGCCATTTCCAATTGGGGATTCAGTATTCAACCACATTTTTTTTGTATTACATTTTTAACTTGCTTTAACACCCAACCTAAGATTTCTGGCAATAAAAGAATGTCACTGTGCCTCTATATCAAAGCATGGACTATGATGTATTTAGTATTTCAGTACAAAAATTATTTTTGTTTTCGGTCACACATACTAAAAAAGTTAATGACTGGTGGTTGCCTTCACCAAATTCTGGGACGATTGACTTTGGTTTTGGCTGCAAAAGTTCCACAAGCTTTCTAAGCTTAGCAACTATGAAGGCACAGCCTTATTCAGAAAATTGTTTCATTTGAAGTCTATCTGGATTTTAGGAACCCTTGCCCAGACTGCTGCAAAGACTTAAGATGTAGCTATCCTCATTCCTATATTCGGGAAATGGCTACTGTGATGACTTCAACTGGCGGACTCTCACTGCATTATTAGCTAATGTACGTGGTGGCTCTCTCTGAAGCTGACTGCCATCTATTCTGTAACTGACTGACCATGGAGAGGCTGATAACTGCAGTAAACACATACTTTAAAACAGCAGCCCCCAAATTGTGGGGTGTGGCCCCCTAGGGGTTTGGAGGAACGTTTGAGGGGGGAGAAGGGATGATGGGGCTGGGCCACCCAGCCCTACTTTGCCCCCAGCCCCACCCCTGGCCTCTGTCCCCAGCCTTGGCCCAGGCTCCTAGTAGTCATGGCCCAGCTCTGGGGAAAGGGGGGGGGGGCAAATTACTTTGGGGCAGGGCGGGGGGATGTGATTTAAAAAGTTTGGGAGCCACTGCTTTAAGAAGAACCTCAGTGTGGTGATCAGAACTACTTGTATGAGTTAGGCACTTTTGAAAATCTTACCTCAACTCTGTGTCTCATTTTCAAAAGTAACTTGGGCACGTAGAAGCACAAATCCTATTGACTTTCTGACTCCCAAGTCAATGGGAGTTGGGCTCCTACATACCTTTGAGAATCTGGGCATAAGGTGCTTTTGAAAATTTTGCCTTGCCCTTATTCATTTTTTCACTGCTCCAGATTTGCATCTCATTGATCTTCCCAATAGCATAAGTCTGTGACATTATGCCTGATAAGAATACTTATTATTTGTATTGTGGTAGTACCTAGAGGCCCCATCAGACAGTGGGGCTCCATTTTTCTAGGTGCTGTACACACAATGAAAAGACCATCTTCCCCCCAAAGAGCTGAAATCTAAGTAAAAATACTAAGAATAAAAGTTTAGTAAGGAAAATCACACAAGCAGGCAGCCATAACTAAGTTTAGGGATTCAAATAACTAAATAGTTATGTCTTAAATGGCTTGCTCTCAAGGACTGTACACATACACCCACAAATGTTTACAGGACTTTAATTAGGTACAGTCCTAGGAAGGGTATGTGTTTTCTCTTTCAAATATGACTGAATTTCCAAGAAATAAAAGACCATGAAAAGTAATGTCAAGCTCCTTTTGACAGTTCTGCAGTAGAAACTGGTCAATGTCTGTCAGTGAAGCTGTAAAATACACACTAATGTTGGCATGATGGACTGAAGTCGTTGAACAAAGTAGCAACAGGAGAAAAAACTCTGCAGGGTAAAAAAAGTCTTTTCAGATTTCTTAACTTGCTGTGAACAATTGCAGTATGAGACAAATTATTCTTAATAATTGCTAATTTTTTTCTAATTTTGCAGGTTTTCAATTGTGTAATATTTTTAATAAAATTCCTTTGTCAGGTTACCTAACTCTGTTTCTTCTTTTTAAACTAGTCCTACAGCCAATAAAGGTAAAATTAGGGAGGCTCACAGACGGATCATGCTTTTGAATCATCCAGATAAAGGTATGTAAAACCAGTAGGGATAAGTCCCATTTGAAATAAATCAATTATTATTGTCCACCCAGTATATTTTTGGCCCAAATTAATGGAGCCAAGATAATGAGATGTTTAGGGCATATAGGTAAATCATTCATATATTAACAAAAAAAATAAAAAACCTGACTGGGAAGAAATACATCTTAAGATGCTTGAATCCTTGTATATTCAGAGGTCCCCTGCCCAAACATTTGAACACTATTAAGACTAATAGATTCAGCAAATTAACTCGTCTCTCATTACCCAATACAGCATCTCTGCATTGACTTGCCATATAAAGACAAAAAAAGTTCCTTTTCGGTGAAAGCCTACAGTGTGATTGTACAGCTGCTCCAACGCATGGAACTCCTATTTGGTTAGAATTGGGCCGTTAAGTCTTCAGAAACAGCAAAAAACTTAATATGTAGTATCGCTGCCTATGCGACGCTAATGCTGAGATTCAGTTAAGTACATGCCTAACTTTAAATATATGAATACTGCCTTCTCTATTCATCATAGCACTTAAACCCCATTGACTTCAACAAATCTAAATCACGTCATAAGAACGGCCATACTCGGTTAGACCAAAGGTCCATCTAGCTCAGTATCCTGTCCTCTGACAGTGGCCAATGCCAGGTGCCCCAGCGGGAATGAATAGAACAGGTAATCACCAAGTGATCCATCCCCTGTTGCTCATTCCCAGCTTCTGGCAAACAAAGACTAGGGACACAATCCCTGTCCATCCTGGCTAATAGCCATTGATGGACCTATCCTCCAAGAACTTATCTAGTTCTTTTTTGAACCTTGTTATAGACTTGGCCTTCACAACATCTTTTGGCAAGGAGTTCCACAGGTTCTCTGTGCGTTGTGTGAACAAATACTTCCTTTTGTTTGTTTTAAACCTTTGTCCTTTGGTACTTGGCAAATTGGGACCTTTAATCTTGATTTAAAAGATAAAATGGCCTCCTTGAAGTGACTGTGAAACTTCCCATCCACTTCTTTGCCTCTTTCCTCCTCCTCAAATAAAACTGGTCATCAGGACCTGCCTTCCCCAGAAATCTTCCAGCAAAGGAAACATATGAACTAAAGCAAAGAATACTGACCTTAGGAGACACTGCCCTTTGTACTCTAAAAGGGTCTATGCATCTTTTGGTAGGTGATCAAATCTAATTTTGGTACATTTAATCTACTAATCACCTGTATTTTACATTTCACTATTAAATTATTCCACCAGTACAGAAGCTTGGGTCAGGCCCTGCTGAATTAGAGAGACTGGTTAATCTGTGGACTCATTAGCTTTATATAAAATATGCAGGGAACATCCAAAACATTTGGAAAATAGTTCTGCGTACCCCCTCTAAATCCTTGGTGACCCTATCAATAAATTCACCAAGTGACACAGGACTAGACTAGAAACCTAATAGAATTTAGGGTTTGTCTACACATGAAATTATTCCAGAATAACTATTCTGGAATCACTATTCCTGAATTCTGAGTGGAGACATATTCCAGAATCAGTCTTCTTCCTGTCAAGCTTAATCCACTTCGTTGGCGTAAAAGCTGTTCCTGAACTCCATGTTTAGACAAATCTTAGTATTCTGCAACTAGTATCAGATGTCATTTGTCTATGAAGGGGCAGTGATGTATTTCTTCGAACAGACGTGCTCACATTTTTCTCCCTACTGGTACCAGTAAGCCAGAATTGGGCAATAGTGTAATAAAGTAGGAAAAAATTGTCTGTTTTTGTGACAAGACTGGTTTTTCTTCTAGGTGGTTCTCCCTATGTGGCAGCCAAAATCAATGAAGCTAAAGATTTACTGGAAGGCCAAGCTAAGAAGTGAATCTGGATATTTAGTTGTAAATTAATGGTTTAGTTTATGTATATGAATATCAGTTTTGATAACTGACCCAAGGAAAAGTTGACACCAATCTTTTTTACTTGATCAATGATTAAACTAATGCAGGGAACCCTCTCCCCCCCCCCCCCCATCTTGGTTGCATCATGTATATCTTGTTTTGGGGAGGGTGGGGGCTTACAAATAGTACTTTTCCAAAAGTGATTCTAAGCTACTATCTCTAGAAGTGGTACAATTTACCTCTAATTCAAAGTATTTTTCCTAGGATGACATGGGAAATACTGTGATTTGGTCTGGCTAATCTATATTCAGACAAACAGCCTGACAGTCTTGAGCACTCTGAAAATATTGAAGTTCTGTTTAACCAGGTACATCTGTTTGAAATTCATGCTGCTATGGCTTAATATCCCAAAGTTAGCAAGATGATACTAATAAGAGAAAAGGCTGGGTTGAAACTACCCAAGGAAAATCATGGGGATTTATTTGCACAATAGGAATAAAGCATTTAGAAATTCTTAGTTACATTAATGCGACATGTAAAATGGAGAAAGTGGAATGTACTGAATTCTCTTGTAAGATAACTTGTATTAACTTTCAAAAACAAGTTGGACATAGTCAGTGCTATTGATTGGTCTCCATGTATTTTTTTACTTATTTCTACACTGGTTTTCATTATTTTTACTGATTCCACTGCATTTAAATAAAATGACAAACTTATACTTCTAGTAATAAGTACTAAAATTTCATAATATACTAAAGCCTTACAGTATATGATGCTTATCTTAAAAGAATAAGGTATAGTACTCTTAGGATAACAACACTGAAGTTTGTAGTAAGAGATGGAAAGTGGGAATTTTACTTGCATGAGCCTTTAAGGTAGAGGCTTAGATTCAAAGTTACAAGGACGACTTTTTTTTTTTAAATGAGAAATTGTAAAGGAGTTCCCCCTCTCCCCCCCACCCCCAAACAAAAACCTATCCATTTTCCCGTGGTAGAGAAAACATTGCTTTACAGCACAGAAGTTATGTTGTCTATACACGGACCACAGTTCACACAACTTTTAGCTTCTCTAAGTCTAATATGCTTGTATTGTGACCAAACTGAGGTCTTTGCAACCTCTCCCTGGGTCGCTCTGATCCCAATCTGCAAAAATGTATGTCTCACTGTGTATGGGAGTATCACCACTGAAATTCTGTGCATTAAGAAATGAGCAAGACTAAATCAAAGATGGAAAACCAGAACTACTGAATTGTTTTTAAGAGAGTATTTAACAAAAAAAATATAGAAAACAAGAAGCATGAAGATCTATACAGTGCTTCAATCTGTTTGTCCAGGTATTTCCCAAACTAAAACACACAGCTCTGCAGGTCCAGCTGTGATATATCTCAGGGTATTAAAAAATAAAAACATTGTTAATGGCTTTCAAATCTACCTCTACGCTTAACTCTTCTCCCCTATGTCCAGGATCACATTTTTCTAGATGTCATACTACATTCTTAAACACACATCAGATGAGCTCATCTTTCTCGCTTCAACAGTGCCATTGTGACCACCACTACCTTCCCAATTACTCCAGTTGTTTACTTTAGAATTATTTTGACTGCATACAGGTCTGTCTCATCTTACGCTGGGGTTACGTTCCACAGTCAGCGCGTAAAGCGAAAACCGCATATAGTCAAAATTACATTATGAATGTAATGGCGGGCGGAGTCGCCCGCACTACAGGAACAGTATTTAAATTGTTATTTTTCTTTTGTTTTTGCCGACTGCATAAAGCTGAATTCACGCATGTTAAATGCACGTAAGATGCGACAGACCTGTACTTTCCTCCCCAACTATACTGTCACCGAATCCTGGTACTTTTTTCTCTAGAACATACTGAAAACAATCCATCCCTTCAGCTGAAATGCATACCTATGTCTTAGTTACCTCTTGCCTTGACTACTGCAGCCTCTCTAGCCTCCTTGTTGCCATCTCAGCTCCTCTCGCTATATAAAATGCAGCAGTTAAAATAACGTTACCCACTGCTCAGAGCATGTCATTCCGCAAATCCTTCGACTGGCTTGCATTCACGGAATCAGGTTTAAGATGGTCTTCTCTTTCAAGGCTCTGCACAACCACACCCACATCTGCTGTGGTATCTTTCTGCATCCCTCTGGTCCACGTCACAAAATAGTGACCTCATTGCTCTTCATTTTCTAGTCCATATCAATATTACTCCAATGCCTGGAATGGCCTCCCCTATTCTGTGCCAGGCTTCCATCCTTTAAGTCCCTCTTTAAAAGCCTGCAAATGTCAACACATGTGAATGTGCCACTGTCAATACTTCCATCTATATAAAAATAAGTTATCACCTCCTCTAAATCTCCAAGGCCCTTCTAGTCCAGAGCATAAAAACGGTATTTTTAAAGCATCTTAACTTATGTTTTACAAACTCCTGTGTAGAGAGGTCAAGCTTAGCGTGTTATCTAGGTCTTCCCTAGGAGAGAACCTAGGGTTCATCTCAACCAGTTAATAAGTAAAGAGGTTAGTACTAAATTACAATGTCAATAGTCTGAAATATCTTGAGTTACTTTAACTAGGCCATCTTTCTGATTAAAGGAAACTAAATAACCAATGGAAGATCAAAGTTTATTTTTTTCTACCAGCATACAAAAACATATTGCACATCAAACAACCAAAATAAAAATACTCTACTAAGGACTAACATATGTAGTTTATACAGAATAAACTTTCTGGAAATTGATCTTTTCAGTAGTTCAGGTTATGTCTTAATGGACATGACTAATTCAGCTTAGTGTTTTATCTAAAGCTATGTTTGATTTTTAAATACTGTACAGTTTAATAAATAAACCAAACAAAGCCTCAAAGTAGAACAGTCACTGCCAATGTCACCCAATATCCCTGCAGATTATGAGAATTTAACAAATGTATTCCAGTGGTCTGCAGTTTTTTTCCTCTACATACAGCATTTAAAAAACATGTATTAAAACAGACCAGTTTCCAGACTAAACTAATGGAGAAATTACAATTCAGTGCAAAATATTTTAGACTGCATTTCTTTCTAGTTTTCCTCAGGTGAAGAAGTGGTTGCATATTATTAAAAATGTAACAAAAGCAGCTAATGCTTTCATAAAGAATATTACATTAGGGATTCCCCCCACATCTTTGCCATATTTTGAAAACAAAATAACATTTCCTATAGCCAGCAAGTTTTTGTTTATTTAAATGTTACATATACTATCTCAAGGCACATCTGATGATATATTTATAACACAGTAGGTGTCAAAGTATGTTTAACATATGATTTCTTCAGGATCCCTCCCCTTTCTGAATTCCAAAATGGAGGAACTGAAAGTGCGGTGTCAAGACTGGCGATCCATATTCTATCTTTGGCAAGCTTATACAAGCACTATTGTAAAATGTAATGTAAAAGAACTGTAAACTAGGAACTTCAGTTTATGAAACACCATTCAGCACTGCTTCTTCCTGATTATTTTCTTCTTCTTGTATAGTACTTGACTTCTCTTCTTCAGGGCTAGGCTGTGGCTTAGAAGGTTCGTCCGCAGATGCATTAGCAGGGCCATTTATTGCTTTTTCTGAAGGGCCATGTTCTTCAATCACATCTTTTGCCTTTAAAAGAAAAAAGATTTTAAAAACCTACTAGATACAACATGGAAAAACCCAATCGAGAGAGGGGGGCATAGTCCAGTGTGTTTTAAACATCAGAAGGGGAGCCAAGGTCACCTGAGTTCTAATCTTGGCTCTTGACACTAACTCCCTCATAGGAATTGCCATAGTAGATCAGACCAGTGGTCTATCCTGTCACCAATAGTGGGCAATACCAGGTGCTTCAGAGGAAGGTGCAAGAAACCCTGCAGTAGGCAATTATGGAATAATCTATCCCCCAAGAAAGTTTCCTCCTAATCCCCAGTAATGAGAGTTTGGCTTAAGTCGCATTAGGTTTTATATCCCTTTCAAATCTCCCCTACTCCTTTTTAGTATTTACTAGTATAATTGGCTATTCTTGTTATCCATATACACCTCTACCCCGATATAACGCTGTCCTTGGGAGCCAAAAAAATCTTACCGCGTTATAGGTGAGACCACGTTATATCAAACTTGCTTTGATCTGCCGGAGTGCACAGTCCTGCCCCCCCGGAGCATTGCTTTACCACGTAATATCTGAATTTGTGTTATATCAGGTTGTGTTATATCAGGGTAGAGGTGTAAATGAATAATATCTTTTCAAATCCTGCTAAGCTTGTCATCTCAAATAAATGGCAATATTCTCTGTGTGGGTAGAAACGCATTTCCTTTCTTCAGTTTGATTTTGCCCCCTTTAATGTCACTGAATATCCCCTTGTTCTGGTATTATGAGATGGGTGAATAGGGTCCCAGTTTACCATCTCTACACCATTCATTCTAGCCTCTGTAGCCTTATGCAAGTCACTGAATCTCTGCCTTAGTTTCCCCTATTTGTAAAATATATAAAAAAATAATGCTTATGACTCCTGTGAGATGGGTATTATTCATAAAGTGCTTTGAAGATTAAAAGCTTTATAGGTGGCATATATTTAAGGAATTGGGGTAAGGACTTCTAATTTTAGAGTACTATGTTAGATGCAGTAAATTCAACTGTTACTTATAAGAAAATCTGCCTTATAATTCAACAACAGAGGAACATCAACAGTGTACTCAGTCACTTGCTCTTGTGATGTTATAGTCATCTCAAACAGTTGCCTCTTTACAAAAGATAAAGTGGTTTTAAAACACCAGAATCTTCAGAAAGACCACCTGATTTCATAAATATTCTGCAAAATTTACGATTTCATAATTTGGCTTGAAGATGGAAATAAAGTACTTTTGAGACCTATTTCAAATATACATTCACAGGGTAAAAGTATATCTGCCTTGCTAGTTAGCATCAACTATATTATCAATAGGGGTTTTCATTCCCCAACTGTGAAAGACTATGAGCATTCCCATCACTAAAGAAGAGAGGAAAACAAAGCAGCATATATTTTATAAAAAATGTTGAGATTTCTTCCTTTTTTCTTACCATTTCGTTCTTGGTTTTGGCCAATGTTTCCCTTGGGAGGTTTCTTTGTCTACTCTGAGATTCAGCTCGCGATATGTAATCAGCTACTGTGACTGTGTGAGGGAAGAAAAATTAAAGATGCTGAAGCGTTATGAAATAATCTGGAAAATATTTCATATTTAACAGTGAGCTAATTTGCTACTGTGCCATTGTTTAGGATTTTCTGCTCTTTATGCATAAAATATAGATTTTTATAGCTGATAAATGTGTCTTATTTGTGAATCACCTAACAACTCTTTGGGTGATTAAAAATTATAATTAACTTAACATTTAATTTATAATAATTTCATAGTAAAGATCAAATTCTGTCCTTGGATAAACATGCATGGCTTCCACTGAAATCAGTGGTAGCTGAGCATACATCTGCTTCTGCAGGCAGAATTTGGCTGCAATTAGGGTAAAAAATAATTCTAGTTTGAGGTAGGTGTAGGCTAAGCAATCTGAAAAGAAGGACTAACACTGAGCTCTCTTCATGACATAAAAGATTGTAAGCACTTTGAGAAAGGGAATTTGTTTATATTGGTACATTTTAGTGACGGGAAAGTGAAGTGGACAGCTATGGTACCATATAAAAAGTAAGGAAATTTCACTCTAGGGTATCCCATAAATAGATTGA